AGAAAAACTTCCTAAACTTTTTATTTTTACAGATAATGATGAAGCACAACAAATATGATAAACATTTCACTATAAAAGGGACAATATGTACAGAAAATATTTTTAGAACTTATTTAAACCTAGAAGGGGGAAGAAAGTCTAACAATGTTCAAGCAGTTCATATGATTTATTTAGAGGAAAAAATTAATATGCCATAAAGAAGGCTGTAGAAACAAAGATAAGCTATCTAAATTAAAAGTGAATAAAGCCTGATTTAAAATCATCTTATGAAATTAATCATCAGAAGTTTATAAAAACTCCAAATTGTATCCTGACACTTTCTAATTTAATGAGACTCTTCATGAGCAAAGGAACAAGACATAGTGGTGCCCGTGAGGAAATGAAGCCCCTAGTGACTTGCTGGCGTGCCATCTAGTGGTGCCTATGCCAGGAGAGCCCCACTCACCCTCCTTTATTCAGGCTTAAAAGGAGAACGACCGAAACACTCCAGATTCTGAGAACTGGCTAACCAGTGCTTTTCTTATTAGTGAAATGTTAACCACCATAGACTTCAATATGACAATCCTCATTGCAAAAGTATTTTCCAGTGCTCAAAAACCTCAACAGTTACTAGAACAATGTAATTACACTGTGCTAGAAATACTGATGACAATTGCACCTTCCATGGTAATGGTGCACTGAGGTTTGCAGACTCTGTGAAAACATCCAGATCTGTTCCACAGATACATTGTTTAGAGGCAGCTTCTTACATGGGGAAAGGTTTAGGAAATACATATACTCCACTTCTGCTCATATTAAAATGAGCGATGGCAACAAAAAGAAAGGCAGGAGATAGCGAAGAAATAGTAATAGATACTTCAATGTAACTGGGTATTATGGCTTGGGCAATGACAGACAAACCCAAAATTTAACAAAGTTAATATTTACTCATTTAAGTAGCTGGCAATATGAGAGATTCATCTCTCTGGAATGCAGAAGTTTCCCCTTATTTTGGCAGAGAACATAGGATATCAAGAGCTTAGCTGATTTTTGAAGATTTGCTTCCTGCAGCTTATTTGAGCTAGCAAGTAACGCAACTCATACTTGCAAGATTTTCTATAGTATCTGAGAAGCTGGAAGTAGCAAAAATCTTTTTTAAAGTGTTCCAAAAATACCTCTCATAATTAAAATTGTTCTGATTTTTTATACACAAAATACACAATAGCCAATAAGCAGATTTTAATTAGTAACCAGACAATTCAAAGTTATAACATCTAACCCTTGCTTACACTCATGAAGCAGTTTAAGCTGCTTGAAACTTCTATGAATCCATAATTACTTCAGTAAGTGACAGCAGGTTTAGCCCTCTACATGCAATGAGGAGACCATCGAATTTAAATAGTTCACTACAACAAATTTCAAAGAGAAAATCATTTTAGAAATGTGAGGTTTTAAAGTTTTTATATATAAGAAAGCTAAAAAATACATAGAACTGTATGCAACTTATATTTACTGTTAATCTTTAGGATTTATCTTTTTTCTTAAATAGATTGAGAAACAGAGCTTTGTTCCTCCAGCACAAGATCACTATTCCTAGCATCACTATACATTTTTTGCATCCCTTAATACTGATTAACATGATCTTTGTGCTGCTCATGCTTTCAGATTCCATGTCGTAAGTAATACAAGACCAGGAGGTACACAACAACAGAGCACGGCTTCGTGCAGGCTGCCTGCATCATTCAAAGCCACGCATTTGCCTCAGTGCATTAGAGATGTGCTTCAGCACTACAAAGCCTGCTGCTAGGCTCACTATGACACGTATCCACTCAGGCAGAGGAAGTGGGGCTGCTATTCAAAAGACAGTCAGCAAAAGTGAATTGGCACAGGTTGGAAGGAAAAAAAAAAAAAGGTTGCATTGCAGGGCTGCTGTCAAAAAACTAATTTCCCTACTGGGAGGGATGAATTAGTGGATTTCACAGCAGGTACCCACAACTTCATTGCTACTTAACGTATGAGCAAGGTCATTTTCTGTTCCTACGGTAGATAAAAAGATATGGCTTTATATCAACAGCTGAATCTGAAGTACTCTCTAAAATTTGCAGATAGCGACAGCGAGCTGAAAATCTACTTCAAGCATTTTGTGATGAATGGTTTAAGAACTAGACCAATACAAGCACATTTTTAACATAGAAACCATTTTCTCCATTGTTACTTACCTGAAATCTGGTCACTGCAAGGGGTTTGCTTCTGCAATACATCTGCACATTTTGTACTCTTGGAATTGTAGATGCTTGATAAAGTCTTCACCTTTATTCTCACATTCCCTTTGCCTTTATTGTGAATAAAGGTAACCATTACCACGTCAGACTTAGGAAGCATTCTGTAGCTAGCTTTTATCCTTTAGCGATCCCAGTTTAAGACTCCAAGTCAATTCCTAGGGGAGACACTGTACAGACAGACATGGCTAATGGGACCAGGAAATAATGGACCTAGGCAGAAACCGCTCCCGCAGTTCCCTCCCAGCCAGTACGGTGGTCCCCTGTGCCAACAGCCCTGCTGGGTTTAATCCAGGGACTGGAACAGCCACTGTCATGAAGCCAGAGCCAGGACATCGGAGAATAGGCATGATGTCTACGAAGCTGCCACTCTGACAGGCCTCTTACAAGTAATTCTGTAAGGCCACATAATTTTGATTTAAAATCAGTGCTTACCAACAACATTAGAGTTACTGTGAGAACTGGAAGAGTGCACGCCAGGATGATTCAATGACTTAGCCTGGGAAAGGGCACGGCCTCTTTGAGGTGCGCTATCTTGAAAGCTTTATTAGACATTAAAGCAGTACTGCTAAACAAGCTGAATGAGTGTTAAGCTAATCTGTAGACCAGTTTAAACTTCTACAGAAAATGTAAAATAAAAACTTGGTAACAGTTTGCCTGCAAGACTTCTGGAGTCAGTTTTCTGCATACATTGAAGTTCTCCAAACTCTGTCCCATTTAGTTCTTTGCAGAATAAAAGCAGTGATTCATTCAAGAGGCTCTACTGATGGTGCATATTTCCCATCTAGGATTTAAGGTGGTTATGAACACTAGCAGAGCCTTGAGAATGAATTAAGCCTTTTTATCTAATCTGAGGCCTTTAATCACTAATTTTAGTATAACCTAAGGCTTAGTTTAACTTTGTACTTTCATGTGTTAATAAACTAACTCTCCCTCTGAATTTTTTCAATAGCAAAACTCATTTCAGAGTGACACAGTACCATCACACTCTGTAATGTCACAGCCCCAACCAAGCACACCCACCTCTTCTGAACTGCCCACAGATGATGCTCATTTACTGCAAAACTGCCATGGAGTAGAAATGTATTCAGTTACAATGAAGTGCAAGTGATACCCTGAATTTCAACATCTGTACTGAGAAGAGCTGGTTTGGGTTATTGTTTTGGGTTTGGTTGGTGTTTGGGTATTTTTGCCAAAAGCAGCAGGTACTAGCTTGTGCAGTAACAAGGACAGGCATTTGATATTGCTGTTTATTTCTTTTTAAAAATTAGACAATTCTCAATGTATTATTCCAGCAACATGCTACTAAGCACTCTATACATTCCTTTCTTTAGAATAATTCTAACTAGATCTTGACAGGGACAAAACGAGTAAGAATTACTGACTTTAATAGTACCAATCAGAATTAAACCATCTGAGAACTCCTCCCCTGAATCTGACATGACATTGTTATGAAACTGGACTACTCATATTTAATACTGTGTTGTCTAAAATACCTTTTGAAATACAAATATTTAGTTTCTTTATTAGAAACAGCTGTGTGTGTATTTTTTCATCTTATTCAGAATAATAAGATAAAAATTTCCATGGGCATTAAAGGGAGTTTCAACTAGGGTTTCATAAGGCAGGCTTTAAAATAGTGCCTGAACCAGTTCTTCCAGAGTTCTTGATTAAAAACTACGTACTTTCAAGAACTATTTTCAGCAGTGTAAATTCTGTGTCCTCCAAAAAGTTTTAATGAAAACCGTTTTAATTAAAACAAGTTTGACAGCCTGAATATGGAAAGTCAAACCACAGGATACTAAATACTTTGAGATGTGTCTGTGCCTCTACAAACAAAACTTCCCTCAAACATCCCATGGAGCAGAAACAATTGTGGTAGCAATTAAAAGATTTTTCAGTTGTCAGATTCAAGGTCACTAGTTAAATTATTCCATCATTTTTAGTTCTAGCAAAAACAAATCTCTTACAGGCATGTATGGTTTTATATGTTGTTTCCTAAATTGTTTAGAAGCACACTCTTATATTCTCTATTTTACAGTGTTGTGCTTTTTTATTTATTCATCTGTACCAGGTTTTAGCTGAAAATTATTCTTCAATTTGTACAAATCACCCATGATTTAAACTGTATAATTACATTTCATGTAATCTCACAATTTCACTGGGTAATTAAATTATTCTCTACAGCTTTTTTATCAAAAAAAAGCAATATACAATTAATGAATCCCTGTAGGACTTCCTCCCCCTCCTCACAAGCATTGACATGACGTATTTAAATACACTGGACCAAATCCTTGGGCATGTCTGCCGAGTTCTGCAGCAATCAGACACGCATGCAAAATGGCTCAAAGCTCACCTTTTGCAAAGGGCTGCATCCTGTCGCAGGGCTACATCCTCATCACAGAGAGAGGGGGGGGAAAAGGGTGAATGTCTAAATTACATCAGCTGTACAGATACAGCTGACCTTCACACAGAAGGAAAGCCCAGTAGTATGCCCTCTTACCTAAATTCTCCAGCATTTACTGTGGTATTTTAGGAGTGCATAGGGAAAGGGTATATGGAACTCTATAGCACCAGAGGATTATTCTTAAAATCCTCTCTGGGCAAATTACACTGAATTTAGGGCCAGTTTAGGGCTGGTATTTTAATTTTCAGTAGCTATACTATTCTAGAGGATCTAGCCCATATCATCATAGTGCAAATGTAACCTCCTTCTGGTAATAACAAAACAACATAATCTTAAAGAGAGGTACAGTTTGTTAATGAGGCGTGGTACATTTTACTCTGTTACACACCTAGGTACCTTCTTTCATTGCTGAACCATCCACTTTTCAGAAAACATTTTAAAAATAACATCTCCTTAGATAATATTAAAAGTAGATGATATGATTTTTTTCTTCAGTAAATTAATACAGTAAAAACTGATTTTTCCAAAGTCATTTCAGTTTAAAATGGGCTGAAAAAAGTTACAATGTTTAATGATAATTTCAGAATAGTAACTAGTTCACAAACATTTTGTTCGTAATGAGAAAACTTTGTCTGTGACAAAAAAAAATAACCATGTCTTCCAGCGATTTACAAACAGTATTTTAGATGCCATCATCACCTGAAGTTCTGTTGATGATGCCTTGCACCAACAGAAAGAACACTGTCCTACTGATGATCAACATTCATCTTCTTTATACGATGAAGCAGGGCATCTTTTTCCATTTGGACCTCAGCAAGAGCCATTTTGGCTTTGGCTAGTTCCTGTTTGAGACATTCATTTTCTTCAATAAGCTGAAACGATTGGGTTAGAAGACAGCATCGTTTTAGTATTCCTGCATACTGACACCTTTTTTCTATTGCAGTAACTTGTACAATACCAGATGCTCACATTCACTGCTGAGTGCAGATTTGTCGGGGCCAGGTCAATTGCGACTGATTCCCAGTCAATGATGTAGAACAGGGAGAGAACTGATGCAGTTAGCTCAAAGGCAAGATACTCAAGGCTTTAGCAATGACATTTCCATTCTGGAGTGGAAATGACACCAGGTTCTGAGCTCTAGGAATGGATTCTTACCCAGTGTGTGGGGGGGAAACCACCCCAGCCAAATTGACACACAGGTTCTGTCATCATCAATTAGAAATCCAGGTATGATTGATAGATCAGTAAGGGTCTGAATTAACAGTCTAGGCCTTTGTCTTTGGGAGTTGTGTTGCACAAGGATGAGGGAGATGGGGAGAAGGGACTTGCTCCTTCATAAAGCTCCCCCTGATTAAAAGGAGAGGAATCAGTCTGCAGTGTATTATTACCCTATTTAGAAAGTAGCATTAAATTTATTTTGCATGCCATAGTACTGAACCATAGTATAATACCCATGATTCACATTTCCCATCTCAAACAGATTTCTAAACAGAAGTAAACCCCAAGCCCACCCCCAGATAATGTAACAATTATGATGATTAATGATTGTAACATAATGGAGGGGAGGGAATAAAAAGGGATTCCTAATACCTCATTTTTAAGGAAGTCAGCTGAATCCTTGCTTGATTTAAGAGGTCTGGGAATTTCACAAGTTGTCTGCGTGGCTTGGTCCCGCGTTTTATGTCCAACAGGTCCAGCTGCTTGCTGCAATGCACTGCTTGAATTCTTCCTCTTTGACATATCATTTACTCTTTGATTGTCTGTATCACAGAAAGATACTCATGAGCAGTGCTTGGGGTTTTTTGTTGCCTTTAAGTTTGATTCTCATGAGCTCAAAATTAAAGCCACCTAAACAAATACACTTGTAATATTAAGTACCTCCCAAAATCAAATTTAAGAATAAAAAAATAATTAGAAGTCATATGCCCCTTTGGCAAAAGACAGAAAGGAAAGGAGGCATGAGAGGAGAAATATGTAGCTTCCAGCTTGAAGACAATAATCACAGTTTTATACTGACCAGTATCATCACCACAGAACATGCATTCTGAATAATTAGAAGTTTGACAGCTATTAATATTGCTAGCAATATACTGTCTCCAGATCCAAATCATCCCTGAAAACTGCATTTACATTTGAAGACACAGTGAGATAAACCTGCAGGATCAAGTTTTTAAATTAGAAAATAACTTAAATGACTTGGCATTAAAGTATGATACATAAACTATAAATACATAAAGTATAATACATATAACTGAAGTGCACTGTAACACCCAGTAAAATATACTGCTGTACAGCAAAGAAAGAAATGAGGGCCATGGTTCTTAAAAATATAGTCTAAAATATTATTTTTTTTTTTCCTTTTTTTAAAACATTTCCTTTTAACCCAGAGTTTTCTGTTCATTACCCCTCGTCCTCCTACCACACACACAGACACGCGAGGACTCACAAATGCAGCACTGCAGATACATAAACCACTGCCGTGCAGATAGCATTTGACCCATGCCTTTGAAGTCACTGCACCTGAGCAGTCCATGGCAAAAATAGGGATCAAAGCACTTCAGCAAAAAGGCAAAAAAATAGGAGCTGAAAGCAACCTTAAAACTGTGTATTTGCTCACTAAATTACTATTTCTTCCAAAGTTTAGTATAAAAAGATGACCAAAATACACTGAACATCTTTAAACACTTGAACAATGTATTAAAAAATGTCGAGAAATTAAAATACATCAAATCATGCCACAGCATACCTGTGAGAAGTCTGGGCCATCTCTGCTCTACCTTCCCATTGGGTAGGTGATGGGGGCACCAAGATCACCCTGCAGCCTCCTCTTCCTCAAGTCATACAATGCACTGCACATTGCTGGAATAATACGTTCAGGACCTGGGCGAAAGGGTGGGTCACCCTCTGCAGTTTTGTGACTACCAAGTTGAAGGGTGAGTGACTGACACACTGAGGGGCAACATTGCAGGAAATGACCTGTAGGCCTTGGTCAGCAAGAAGATCTATCACGAGTCAGCAGTGAGCTCTGACAGCAAAGACCAGGCACATACAGGCTGTACTAGCAAGGGTATAGCTAGCAAGGTGAAGGGAAGTTATTATTCCTCTATACCAGTGAGACCATATCAGGAATACTGAATCCAATTTTGGATTCCCTAGTGTGAGAAAGATACCGGTAGTAGAGGACCACCAAGATAATCGTAGCAAGGAGCACCTGATGTACAAGTGAAGGGCTCAAAGAGATGCACTTGTCAAATCTGAAGATGAGAAGGCTGTGGGGTGATCTTAATGGCGCCTTTGCCAGCCTAGTGGAAGGGCATAGAGAAGATGGACCAGACTTCCCTGAGGTGCTTGGAAAGTGCTCAAGCGCCTTTGTCTCAAGGTTGCAGGACAGGAGGCAATAGACACAAGCTGCAACAAAGGAAATTCCAATTAGACACTACCAAAAAAATTAACCATAAAGGTGGTCAAACACTGGGACAGATTATTTAGGGCAGATTGTGGTATCGCCTTTTTGATGCTCAAAACTTGACTGGACAGGACATTGAGCAACTTCATCTAATCTGTCCCTGCTTTGAGCAAGGAGTAGGACCAGATGACTTCTACAGGCTTCTTCCAATCTAGATCATGATTCTTTGACATATCCGTGAAAGACAACAGTAAAGTTCCAGCTCTAGATGTATTGCCTTGTTACAAGTATTTAGCATTTGCCCACACATGTAGAAAAAAAAAATTTTAAGTGAAGAAGTACAAAGTTATAATTGCTGTTCGCAATACAAGAATTCAAAACTGTTACTTGCACTTCTCAAAATGTCTCTTGTTTTACAATACTCTCTATTACTACCTGTAACACAAAACCTAAAAGACAACAGGTAACCACCTTGGTAATCAGTAAAGAAAGGCAATTTTTTTTGTTTGGTTTGTAGTCAATCAAAGGAACCTTAGACTTATCACAACGAAGTGATATGCACTGATGAAGCATATCCTGATGAAGTTATATGGATTTTTTTTTTTCCTCTCAGATTGATTCAGCTGTGGGTTATCATCACAGCCAATACACTATTTGAAAAGGTAGTTTTCCTCTATGTGACTACACTTAGAATTAAGGTATATGGCAACACAACTTACACAAATTATCATCGGTTATCTTTTCATTATTGGCCACATGTCTGCCTAAAGGAATAAAACAGTATTAATAATAATTAGCTAATAATATTGAGATATCAAGGTGCAGGAACATACAAACCTCTAATGAGAAATGAGCCATCATCATTTCTTTCTATCCAGAGTATGTCAATATGTAGTTTTATGGGTACCAGCTCAGATGCCTTAAGATTTTCACGTGGACTGTCATCCTAAAAAATACAATTATTCAAAAATGAGTTTACCAGGAAATCAAAATAGCTAATTAAGATGTTCAATTAAACATAAGTGGATTTAATGAAACTTAAAAGGAACCACTTCAGAGTAGAATTTTCTAATGGGATCTCCGTTAAACTTTTGCTCTGGTTTTTTTCTGAGGGATCATATTAAAGGCCCAAATTTATTTCTGGCATAAGTCTACTGAACTCAATATATACAGTCTGACTAAAACACTTCAAAGAATTTTTACAGACATGTCAATAAGATTATATCCCAGCTCAAGACATTCTTTAGCTCAGGAGCTCTCAAGAGTCAGAGATAAGAAGCCTGCACTATATAGTATCTGATTTTCCCTTGAACTATTTAAGGATCGAATGGGTACAGCTATCATTCTTGAGCGGATTTTGTCTTTTTAGAATTTAGTTTGGGATGACACCAGCTGCAGTTCAGTTATATTACTGTACTCAACAGAAGAGAAACTTCACAAATTACTTCTTTTGGGGTCTCCCCAGGAAGTCTTTATAGTTCATTATCATTGTCAAGCATAATAACGCAGCCAGTATAATCAGAAACTATACATATCAGCATTAAGCACGTAGCAAGAAACCTGTTGAGATATAACTGCCAAAGTTTCTTGATACAGCACTGAGATTGCAGTAGAAAATGCAAAAAATAAAATAACCTTTCTTAAATTCTTCCCCCCATGAAACACACTGCACCAAGTCTCTTGCAGAAGAAACAGAAGAATATAATGCATTGAATAGGCAACGCAGCATAAATTTGAACCATATCCTCCGCTCTGTATGAGTCATCTGCATGTCAAATTTGCAGTTTGTCGACCATCATGAGTAACTTCACTGTGACTCGTGCGCACTGCTGAGTGAGCACTTCAGCACTTTTGCTACCAAGCAGACTCTTATTGCCAGTTTATTAATGTATATTCCCCACCTTAAACAGCTGCTTCCTCAGTAACATTTTGCTTAAGTCTGCCTTCTTGCCAATAATCCAGCTCAATCCTGGTTTCAAAATTAAATGACTATATGTTAAGGCTTTCCTTTTTGCATTTGGGCATTCATGTCTGTGATACATTGAAGTCTGAGGAACAGAACCACAGCTCTTACAGAGCTTGTGCTTGTGCTACTCCTGTAGTAGAAACAGCCCTAAAGGACTGTCTAAGGATCCTCAGGGGACGGAAAAGCTACATCATGGAGGGAGGGAATACTGATGCACTTTGAGTAGAACACCACAGCGATAAAAATTGCCCTTCCAGACAAGGATGATCTTAGCAGAATCAAGGCCTTAGCTCCAGATGCAAAACTGGAGCTGCTATTCCAGTCCTCAAAGTTTATATGGGTGACTACTAATTTCCAAAGCAATGTTACAATTATCTTTTTTTTTGTTGCTGTCCCCTCCCTAAAAAAAAGTGTCCTTATCTTTATATTCAAGGGTTGTGCAGCACAGAACTCACCATCTCATTTAAATGTCTGAAAGAAAATCCCCTAGGAGACTTGAGCAGGAGTGTCCTCTTAATGTTGTTATTTTAAGCTTCAGTGTTGAGAAAAGCTTGCATTATTTATTGTGTTTGTAGAACATGAAATCTGAGTTCTAAGAAACAGTATTCAAGTGACTTGAACTGGGATTCCCATAACCTTTTTTCCTTCTTTTTATTGAACTTTCATTGCAAGAACCATCCTCTAAATAGGAGAGAGAATTAACCTCTAAACCCTGTGTTTTGTAATTAGAAAACCATTACTACGCTAAGCAAAAAAGCTCAACCAGAAAAACCTACATCATGCCTCTACGATCTTGGTATATGTTACCTATAAACTCCCAGATACCGTTACTCTACAAAAGAGACTGGGAGAGGAGGAAAAAAGCATAAAATATTAACCCATGTAAATAGCTTGGTCATGTAGAGAATTCCCCTCTAGGCATACCACAGAGCTAACCAAATCTTTAAATTGTTTTTAGTGTTATCTAAAGACCTTCCAGAGTATGATAGCAGTTTCTTTGAAGTGAACTGTATCCAGATTAGTAGTTTATCATCAAAGAAACAAGAATACAATTTCTTTACAGCAGCCAAATAGCTCATTGTTAACATACTTTTAAATTAATTCTTGCATTGGAAACTTTTATCTTCATAGGCATCACTTCTGCGACAGTTTCATCTTCTAGAAAATGTTGAATGTTTGTGAGGGAAGACGTTAGAAATTCAGCGCTGAAGTTCTCTACATGACACTGAAGAAAACCATTTTTTACAGCCAGCAGAGAATGTATGACAGCACTCGGCCCACTTTCCCATCTCAAACTAATCTCAGGTGGTGAATTAACTGGTCCAGCCACAGATTTACAGTCAGAACCTGTTGCAAAAGGAAAACAAATTTGCATTAAAATTTTGCAATATACAAAAAAAGCAATTATGATGCAATTATTTCTAGCTCTATTGTCCAACTGATTTTCCAAAAGTACTTTAGAAGTATTATCCACAAATCTCAGCGTTGCAAATACAGAACTCCGGAGCAAATTTCTAAGTACATCACTGCAAAGTACTACGGAGAAATAAACAGTACATACAAGGACTAGTACCTCACTGTGACAACAGAAAAGGACAATACAGAAGTATCACCATGCACAAAAAAATATGTTTCCTCAATGTCTTCATGATGGAAAAACAATTATTTTGCATACTTTGCCACTAAATCCTTCGATTTTAATTCAGAGAAACATTTAAGTTGGTTCACTCTCTCAGGAGAGCAGGTTTTCTCTTGGAAAGGCAGAATTTCTTGATTCGGGAACTTACTTGCAAACACACAGGAACATAAACAGCAATGCAGTAAGATGGAGAACATGACCACATGGTGCTTCTGTTATTTGGGTGGCAGTAGATTTGAACCTTAAAAAACCCCTAGCAGTTTCTTGTTACTTTCAGTATGTTTAACCAGCAAGGACAACAGCAACATTCAACTAAACAGTTCTAAAAATAATAATAATAATAATAAAAAATAAAAATTAAAATAAAATTTAGAAA